TAATCCAAAGTATTCAGAATACGTTACTCTCATTGAGTAACGTAACAGAATACGTTACAGAATACATTTTGGGGCATGTAATCTGTAATCTGTAATGGAATACATTTTAAAAGTAACCTTCCCAACACTGTTCATCAGATATTTAATACGGCTGTGTTGCGGGTTGAGCCCCTGTGAGTATCTGCACAAGTGTTTGACTAAAATATTTAAAAGCAGCATGTGCTGGTTGGTGTGAGTCTGTCTACAGCCTCTGGTCTTCCACTGCACGCTGTGTCTGTCACAGTACCAGGATATCAGCGTTCGTCCTCTCTGCAGTCTTACAAGTTTATCTCATGATTAGGTCATCAGGGCCGTGATTCCTGTGGTAAAATTCTGTCACATCTCTTGAAGCATAATTACACCAAAACAGCATGAATTGAATCTTGACTAAAACATTTATTTCTTGGTACAAAAAGAGCAATTTCATCTCACATAATTGCACAGAAACAATCTGAGCCACAGCTGTGACTAAAGTGCTTTTATTTCATGAATCTAGTCCAACATCTTTTCATTAAATATTAATGACTTTACTAACAGAACAAAAGTCTCCTTTAATGGGCACAGCTAAAGTCAAGTTTGTAGAGCTTCACAGACGCTAATGGATGAGCGCTGATGTGTGACAGATGAATACTGTGCTTTCAAACATCCCTTGCATTTTTAATCCGAGAGCTAACGTGTTTTCGAGCATCCCCATTATTCAGTGCACTATCTCGGCAGTTTCTCCTCATAAACTGCACAATGCCGAGTGAAACAGGAACCGGCTGCAGCCAGGAGACAAGCTCTCCTCCTTCACTCTCTTATTGAGATCAATAGGTTTTCGCAGTTCTCTGTGCTCACTGTGCACTGTTGCAGTATAAAGAGAATCCATCAAAAGCAGCTAGGTGCATTACACAGCTTCCAGCCCATGTCCACATTGATTCTGAAACTCCCAGGAGGGCAGTGCCTGAATGCGACCGCAGTCTGCAGTTCAGTGAAAGCACGGCCAATTATTTCAGATCCGAATTTTCAAACAGGTGGAGAACATTTTAGTCAAACGTGTCTGTAATTCTGAGCGCTATCTGTTTGGTTTCCTCCAGAGCATTCCTGCTCCTTATAACCCAATTATGAAATTGTTTATAGGTGTCAGCCTCAGTCCAGAATAAGGTGAGCAACTGTCCAACATCCGATGCCAGTTGGAGCCATTAGCCCGCTCCTGAGTGGATTACGAACATTTTGTTGGTGACCCTCTGTGCTAGAATACTGGTGGGTCACTACTGGGGCATTAAAAACTCCCAACCTGCCACAACTAGCCACTTGTCCAATTTGGCAGAGCGACAAGGACGGCTTTTTGGCTATGAGAACGTGGACTGCAAGGTCTGGCTGACCTCTAACTGACGAAACACTAAACTTTCTTACATCCTCCTTTGGAGAATGCCAGGGAGCGTCCTCCTCCCTCTGTTGCCTACCTTGTACCATCTCCATATCTGATAAATCTCAAGTATACTGGCTCAATTTAAT